CTAAAAAAAATACAATTTGATCTAAAAATACGAATCTCTTCTTGTTTTACTTGGTAAATTTTGGTAGTTGCTAATTTGGAAATTTGCATAATTGGGTTTCAGAGTTGTGCTTGCACCATTGACTCGACAGAGATCGTACGGTAATGTTCCTCAGCTACATGCTATCTTATACTACTCTGAGTGAACTTCAAAGGGAGGTCTTCTCATAGCAGAATCCACTGGAGTTTCTGACACTGCTCAAGGGTAACTCTACCTCAGTAGCTTGAATTGTTAAGGATTTTCTTTACGTTTTTTTTTTTTTGAACAAGAGTACATGGGGGCGGGTGAAACCCTACCCGGGGTGGGGAGAATACATCGTATGGTCAGAGACCATTTGACCCCAAGGGCCAGATGCGGATTTTCTTTACGTTTAGTCGTAAATAGAAGGAGAATTTATATATATATAAAATAAAAATCTCTTGTTTTGCAATTTAATAGGGGGAGGGGTTTCAATAATATGAGGTTTATTTATTTAATAATTAATATTGTATAATCAAATATAATTTAAATTATATAATATTTTTTTCATATAATAATATAAACATTATAATACTTTAGGCAAGTAAGACCTGATGATCCCAAATGAAACTTTAGTAATTAGGGGCATTTACCGTTTGGCTTGGTTCGTGTTTGGTTTTTAGGCTTTTTAAACAAATTAATTTAATTGATTTGAAGGAACTTTTATCCAATCCCATCGGATCAATGTATTATAAACCGAACCCCTCTAACTAAGATTGGTTTAAATTAAATTATGGGTTTTATATTTTTCTTAAAACTGCAAAACCAAACAGTATGAAGTTGCAAAATAACACAAAATTTATAAGTATACAACAAAAGTAAAAATATATTTAAAAGAAAACTAATAAATCATTATTCAGATAATGATTCTTGAAAACAAACTTAACTAGCAATATCTTATTCTACATAGAAGCCAAAACTACAAAATTCTTGCCACAAAAGCACACCAGCATCATGAACTATTTTATATTGAAGAGTTTGAAAACTGAAAAGGTTACTAGTATATAGAGTTTGGGGTTGTAGTGAACAAGTTATATATATATATATATGTGTGTAAGTTTTATATAGATACACATATTTACAATTTAAAAATATTTTAATTGTAAATATGTGTATCTATATAAAACTTACACACATATATATATATATATATATATATATATATTAGCTTAGACACTTGAATAGGAACGCTATTTCAGCATCTCTTTTCATCGATCATGGTCTCACAACTACTATGGGTTCATCAACATACAAAACCTTTTAAACAAGAATGAGGCAAAAAGGGGGCACATCCAGTGATAAGTAAAAATAAACTAAACATTTCTTCTTTCTGGTTAATCCTGACTAGTTTCTAGGCCCTATGAGGTTTAACTAGTTATGGTGAGTCTGGGTATGTAAATAGATGGAGGTTTTGAAGTTATACATTATAATGTTAGTAATGTATAAACCAACAAGTAAATTCAGACTATTGAAAACATGGACTTGTAAAATTAATTCTAAATAGACATAGGGTACAATGAAATGCAGAAAATGAATCAAATTCAGATTGGTAGTTGGTACATGCAGAGACACCATCTCCCTGTTGTGACTCGTAGAACCAAGTTATCATGTCTAGTAGGTCTACTAGGATCGCAGCCTACAGAACAAAAAGGAAGCTTTCTTTCTTAGCCTGATTAGTGTGTAAAGATGCAACACACAAAAAAATTAACATGGCTTCATCAATTATCTTATGCAAAATAGGGGAAAAGGCTACAAAAATTGCATTTGAAATTCTTGATGTTGCATTCATTTCCTTATCAGCGAGAATTCAGGCTGCAATTCTTTCTTCTTCCTTCTCTGCTGCCTCTGTCTTCAGCTCCTTAACTGCGTTTATAAGAGCTCGGGTGATCCCATTGAGATGCAAACGATTCTCTTTCATTTCATCAAAAAGTTTCTCAGCTCTTTCCCAATCCAAAGCCTTCAAGCAAAGAGACTGAATCAACTTATTGAACTCGTCAACATTAGGTTGGACCCCAAAATCTTTCATCTCATGGAACAAATTCAAAGCCTCATCAAACTGTTCAAGTTTACAATACCCACGGATTAGTGTATGATAAGTTACAGGGCTCAGCTTATTGTGCTTCTTCTTGGCTTCAGATAACACTTTGCAAGCCTCGTCCATTTGACCACCATTTGCATAACCACTTATGACAACTGTGTAGGTGTAAACATCTGGTTTCAGTCCCCTACTCTCCATCAATTTTAAAATCTCCATTGCCTTCTCCATATCCCCTGCTTTGGAATAGCCTTGTACAATTGAATTGAAAACTGCATTTCCAGGAGGTGGACCCTCATCAATCATCTTCAGAAGCAATGTTTTTGCCTCATCAACATCTTTCATCCTACACAGACCACCAATGACAGATGAAAATGGCTTGATTGCATATTTTCTTTCTTCCTCTTCTGAGAAATCATCCAACATATTCAACGCCAATTTTACAGTTTCATCCTTCCGACAGAGTGAACTGATCAAGAATTTTAAAGGAGACTGTGGAAGACAGATGTTTTTGTCCTTTGCCATTATATAAACATCGTGTGCATCTTTAGCCTTATCCCCTTTACATAACCAAGCTATGATCTGACCTGTTTGCTTATCAGCAGGCAAGATCTCTGCATGAAGCATCTTCTCACAGACAGATTTAGCCCAATCAAAAAACGAGCGCTTAGAAAGCGCTTCAATTGTGAAATAATATGTTTCTGCATTTGGGGTACACCCAAAATCCCCAAATTTCTCAAACACCTCCAAAGCTGCCTTACCTTTGCCCAACTTTGAGAACAAGCATATCAACTCGTTAAGAGACTCCACACTCAGTATTCCACTCTCCTTCTCGCCTATCTCTCTAACCAAATCCCACAAAGCATAAGCATCCCTCTTCCTGAGATCACTACAAATAGCCAGAACAAGTGCATCAAGAACCCGATTGGAAATTCTATACTCTGGCTTCTTCATCACCCACTTGAAAAACTGAATCAAATTCTCACCCGCAACAAGTGGTGTCTCAAAAACTTTCAAAACAAACTCTTCTTGTAAATTCAAATTCATGTTATTAAGACTGGACTCCAAAGAACCATCAACCCTACTTTGCAACAAGGACAACACATTTTCCAACTTCTCCTCATTATTCTCATAAATCTCTTGTTTCTCATCACCTTCACCAAAGCTCCCATCTTGACCAAGACACACAAAAGATTGTTCTTCAGTGTCAACTTTCCCATCCTCACCGATAGTACCATTCATTTGGGACTCACCATCTACAGAAAAAACTCCTAAAGAATCCTCTACCCGTTGACTATCCTCAATCCCAAAAATATTTTCAAAATTGGTATCCCCATTTTCACCGGTACCCACTGAAAACCCCTTTTCCCAACTCTCACTTTCATCAGCATTTTCTCCCGAACATAGAGGTGGAATGTGGCTCTCATCACTTGGGTTGGCGGAGAAGTTTGAGAGAAATCTAGGACTTCGATAAAATGAGGTTGCAGTTGCAGTGAAGAAATCAGAAGACGTTTGAGATGGAGTTAATACCCTCGAGTTTCGGATTGCACAGAAACTCCGTGCAACCACTTGCCTTGACCTCGCCGCTATTGATCTCCACATCTTCTCTCTCGTCGCCTTCTGTGATATTGGATATTGAATATTGAAGAAATCCGAAAAACCCTAATTTCAGCAGGGTCTTTGTTGCCAGCCTGCTGATGATGACCAGGATCCGACCCGGCCAATTTCATTTTTTCCCCTTTTTGAGCACATATGTCATATTTGGTCCCTAAACTTTACTAATATATTGATTATAGTCCTTTAAGTGGCCATTATCATGATCATGTTGACTATAGTCCTTGAAGAACTCAATTTTTCTTTAAGGACCATCTTCCAGCCTTTAGAAAAAAATGTATTTTTTTAAAGAAAAAATGTACAGTTCAGTTGAGGTTCTTTAGTATAAGATACTGAATAAATTTGAAAAACCTTAATTTCAAGAGTTTTTTTTTAACAATCAAAATTACATTAGTAGTATTAGTATCTATTCAAAGAGGAGGGGTGAATGTCGAATACTGAGTTTGACTTAGACCAAGGTGCCCCTACTTTGCTTTTCAAATGAGAAGCGTGGCCACTGGGCCACGTAGTGGTGAGCTCAAGAGTTTAGTGATTGATTGTGTTAAATGATAATTTGAGTATATATTTGACTCATTTAGTACTATGTGTTTCATATTTGCTTTTAAATTTAATCAATTTTTCTAGTTGCCTTAAAAAATATAAAACTTAGTGGAGGCTCCGCCATCAAACTTGTATAGAGAATTAGTGATGTGGTGATAGTCTCTACAAATAGTGTTAACAACACAAGAAGATAGTAGATGATTAGTCTAGTAATAATTTTTTTTCTAATAAATATAGAAGATTTGAGTTTAAGTTACATACAATGTAGGTAATTAAGGTGCATAAGTTAAAAGAGATCAAAGAAGTTGTTTCTAATTTTGCAACTAGAAGCTAAAGCTGAAAAACAATCTAGTTTCGTAGGTTAGGAAGGAAAAATAATAGATTGAGAGACTAATAGTAAGAGTGTGGGGGAGGTTGGATGAAAGATGCTAATGTGTGAGTTTGGCATTCTCTCATGTACTGTTGCCGTTTTGCTGCTCTTATATTCCATGTGTGAATCCCCTTCAGGAGCTCGCCTCTTTTCCATTGCATTATAACTCCTGTACTTCGATATGCATACAATAATCAATGATGATAAAATTCAAGAAAATGGGATCGATGAATCAAGCCGCATCAAAAATGAAGTCCAACCCAATCCATGTCGCATTCAGTTTGCCTCTACTGCATTCACTTTCATTTAGGTTCCTCAATGGAGAAAACCGTAATGTTTTTGCATGTATGGAGCTAAATTTACAGCCAGCAACCTCGATCCTAGCAAGCCTACTCTCGAACTAAACCTGATTTTGTAACCCTTAATTTCTCATAGAACATGGTGTCATAAGTTGAAACCACTTTGTGGATATCAACATGCATGGCTATCAAACCAGAAGAAAGCAAAGAAAGAGGCACTCCATGTAATCTTGACATTTGTGTGTCAATAAGATAGTGGTTATGTAATCACCATTTTAAAATTTTGATATATAAAATAATGGCAATGCTACACTTACAACATTATAATATTATATAATATTATAAATTTATAATAATAAAAGTATTATTAAATAAGTGTGATTTGTTACTAAATAAATGAATACATACAATATTATGAGTGCACTCATAAATGAAAATAGTTAATATAAATAACAACATATCATATTATAAATTTATATTATCATATAATATTGTAACTATATTATTTTGGATAAAACAACTTGTAAATTTAAAGTATTGTAATCATAAACATCTATAATTAATATTCTATCTATCTTAAAATAATTGTTATTTTTTTATTCTAAATTTATTCCAAATTAATTTTTATTTTTTATTTTTTAAATAAAACTTTAATCATATTATTATCTATGTAATTTAATTATTCATCTTATCATAAAAAAATTTGTAATATAGGTAAATATATAAATATTTCTCAAATTTTTTAATTTGAAAAAATAAAATTATTCCATCTTGCTGTATAAAATAAATCACAAATCCAAAAAAGAGACTTATAAATTAGAAATTTACCGAAAACACTTCTAAATTATGTTAGCCACATGAGACACCATTTTGAACTTATAGCAACAAGCGCCCAATTCTACAAGAATTGTAGAACAAAAATAAAGGTTTCTAGCTTGATTTGCTTGGGCAGATATAAGACAAAATAACTATATATAAATATATATTAACATACATTTATTGGCTATCTTGTTCTAGAAAGGAGAGAATTCCATTGGTTAAAACCCTTTTTTGGTCATGAACTATTGTATGAACCCCTGATTTGATCACTAAACTAAAAAATTTTTTGATTTGATCCCTACTGTTTACTATTTTTACCTCGATTTGGTCATTTTGTTAAAAATTGTGTGACGTGGCCTGTTACTTCACGGTTACCAGATGACATGTCATATAGTAATCCACGTGGAAGATAATATAACCAAAAAGTGATGATGTGGAAAAAACAATAATATAAAAAAATTTATAAAAAATAAAACTTAAAAATTTTTTTTTTCTTTTTTCTTTCTCCTTCCCCTTTCTCTCCTCTTTCCCCTCGGAACCCAGCAGGCTTGGGTTCCTTCGAACCCACCTAGGCGCTAGGTTCCTTGCGAACCCAGCACGCTTGCCTGGGTTCGATGGAACGCAGCACGCTTGGGTTCGGTTCCTTGCGAACCCAACGCTTGCGTTTGCAAGGAACCCAAGCGTGCTGGGTTCGCGTCTGGGTTCACACCGAACCCAGCATGCCTGGGTTTGGTGGAACCCAGCACACTTGGGTTCGGTTCCTTGCAAACCCAGCGCCTGGGTTCATAAGGAACCCAAGTGTGCTTGGTTCGCGTCTGGGTTCCTACAAACCGAGCACGCTTGGGTTCCTTGCGAACCCAGGTGCAAAAAATTTTAAAAAAAAAAATTTCTGTTTTTGTTTTTTGGATTTTGTTGTTTGATTGTGATGAAAAATTGATTGATGAAGATGAAGAAGGCAAAGCAAGGCAGTTGCTAGGTTACTGCAGGTGTTGGGTTCGATGTTGGGTTCGATTTTTTAATTTCGAATGCTAGGTTTTTGCAGGTGCTGGGTTCGTTTGCAGGTGCTGGGTTCGAAATCGAACCCAGCAAGCGGTGGGTTTGAGCAGCCGCTGAGTTCCTGCAAGTGAGACTCTGGGTTTCGTTTCGAACTCAGTAGCCATTGGGTCAAATATCTATTGAGTTTAATCTGTTGGTTTGTTGTGTTATCCTCGAATTTAATATTAGGAGTTAGGGTTTGCAGAAGGTTAAAGGAAAGGGAGAGGAAGAAGAAAGGGAAAAAGGAAAAACAAATGAAGAAAAAAAAAAGGAATAAGAAATTTTTTAATATTTTTTTCTTGCCATCTCATTTTTTTTGTCACATTGTACATCCTAGGTGTCAAAATGTTTTTATATGTCATCGTTTTCCCTGTCAAGTAACGAGACACATAGGTTGATATTTAACGGAAGGACCAAATCGGGATAAAAATGATAAACAGTAGGATCAAATCAGGGATTTTTTTAGTTTAGGGATCAAATCAGAGATCCGTACAATAGTTCAGGGACCAAAAAGGGGTTTTAACCAATTCCATTTCCTAAGGTGAACAGTTAGGCTGTAACATTTGTTTCTTCTTTCTCTTATGCTTGTGTCTCCAGCTCCTCCTCTTCAAACTCTTAGTTCCGCTTTCATCTCAGTTGGTATTCCTCTTCATTATCTTCCTCTGGCACGTCTTCTTTGCTGTTTTCATCTTTGTTCTCTTCCGCCTCTGTCTCTAGACTCTCTTCTACCTCTACTTTAAACTACATTACTTCATTTGCCAATGCCTCTGCCTCCAGCTCGTTGACTGCCTTTATAAGACTCTTAGTGCTCTCATTTTGATGTACACCATTCACCAGCAAGTCCTGCAGCATTTTATTAGCTATTGTCCAATATATAAAGCCTTTAAGCAAAGAGATTCAATCAACTCATTGTACTCATCAACATTTTTGACTCCACAATCTTTCAACTGATCTAACAAATTCAAAGCCTTGTCAAACTCTTTCAGTTTACAATACCCGCGGATTAGTGCATGATAGGTCACGGGGCTCAGCTTAGGGTGCTTTTTGTTGGTTTCTGATAACATTTTGCAAGCCTCATATCCATCTGACCACCATTTGCACAACCACTTATGACAACTGAGGCATAAACATCTGGCTTTAGTTCCCCAGTCTTGATGAATTCTATTACCTTCTCTGCCCTCTTCATACATCTAGCTTTGGAATAATAACCAAATATAATTGAATTGAAATGTGCATTTTCAGGAGGCAGACCTTGAGAAATCATCTGCACAAGTAATGTTGCTGCCTCGTCAACAACTCTCACCCTGCATAAACTACGGATGATAGCTGAAAATGGCTTTATTGCATACATCCTTGCTACTCCTGAGAAATCACCCAACACTTTCAATGCTAAATTTACGGTTCGATCCTTCTTACAGAGTGAGGTGACCAGTAGTTTAACATAAGACTGAGCTGTGTACGTGTTTTTTTCCTTTGCCACCACATAAACAGCATAGGCATCTCTAGCACTATCCAATTTACATAACCTACTTCTGAGATACCCAACATGCTCACCATAAGGCAAGGCCTTTGCATCAAGCATCTGTCGTAAAACAGACCAAGCCCTATGATAATGATTAATGACCATGCCTGGAAAAGGCATACGTTGTTAAATAATAACTTTGTGCACTCCGGGCACACCCAAAATCCCCAAATTTTCTATACACATCCCAAGCTGTAATTTGGCCCAAGTTTGCAAACAAATATGTCAACTCATTAAGAGACTCCACACTTAATATTCCCTTCTCCCGGTGGCCCATCACCTCAACAATTTCCCACAAAATTTAAGAATTCCACCCAGTACGAGGAACAGCATCCAACAACTTACTAACATCCTTCTTCCTTTAATCACTACAAACAGCGAGAACAAATGCATCAAAAACCCGAGTGCTTGTAAATTTATACTTAAGCTTCACCATCACCCAACACATAAATCGAAGCAAATTCTTTCAAGAAACATCTGACCAGGACTCGAGCACTTTCAAAAGAAACTCTTCATGTAAATTTAGAAATGATTAAATTTAATCATTAAAATTAAAAATTAAAATTATAAAGTATAAAATTTTAAAATAAACTAATATTAAAAGTTATTAAATCTTGTTAATTTTATTTTACAGTTTCTAAATTTTTAAAATTTAAAAATAAAAATAAAATTGTGTTTTTATTTTACAATGTAATTATAAAATAGGAACCGTTTGATGGCCCTCCCCCATCAAACATTTAATAGTTACTGTCTAGAATAATTCAAATTATAAAACCTTTTAAAAATAAAAACTACAATCATTTTAAACAGTGCATAAGTGAAGATTCCATATTATGCTCAACAAAGTTCTAAAGAAATTTATCATTAGTGAATTCAAAATTTACCTATTTTCAGTAATTATTTTCTTTAAAAAAATCTTATATATCTTGCTCATTAGAATTAAGGACTCATTTTACATAGTAGTTTCAGGATAACGATTAACAGTTTTGTCTAAACTACTAAAAATAGATATTTGATAAATTAATTTATTTTGAAATCACAACAAACTAGGTGTTTAGTAAAATTTTTTATTCAATGATTTGAAACTAATAAATTGCGATTAGGGTCCAAATCACAAACATATTAAAAAAGTTACTTAAAGTAGTTTTTTATATAAAACTATTAGTAGATTGAACTTTTTTAATTTTATTAATAAATTTATCATTTTTAATTTTTTAATTTTTTGCTACTATTTTTAATTAATACTTATCTAATTAGTTTTTTTTTGCCTTTAATAACATTAAATGAATATTATAATTTTATTTTTACATTAATTTATCATAAAAAAATATATTAGTTTAATAAACAAAATTTACTAATTAGATAAAAAGATTAAAATTTTTCATGCTTTATTTAAAAATAATATAATTTTTTATTTATTAAAAATAAAAAATAACGTGTGATTACACTATTATAATTTATTTTATTTATTTATTGTCTTATTATTATTTTTATAAAATTAGTAATTTTAATAATAAAAAATATAAAAAGAAAAAAATATACTTAATTGTTTTTAAACATGTTTTTATTAGTTATTTAACGTTGAACGACAACTGCTAACTATTGTATAACTAAACAGTTATATCAATCGAATCTGTTA